AGGAAAAAAAATCATATCATAGTGAATGAGGTGGGGAGTGCAGAATGGAGACCCAAAACCCATTTATAGGCCACTAGATAGAAGGGGTCTTGGGGAGGAGATGAGCTAGTCAGGGTGAGATGTAGCAACGATGAAGCATACAACTTGCCTCTAGTTCCTAAATGCTTCCTCCTCCCCAACTATCATGATCCCAATTGTACCTTACAAATCTGGTTAGAGCAGAGGATGTACACTGGTACAGACAGGAACTGGAAACACAGGTAATCCAGGGCACATGATCCCTTCAGGACCAGTGGTGTGAGCAGTGATACTGGGAGGGTGGAGGGAAGGTGGGTTGGAAAGGGGGAATCGATTAGAAGGATCTACATGTGACCTCCTCCCTGGGGGACGGACAACAGAAAAGTGGGTGAAGGGAGACGTCAGACAGGCCAAGATATGACAAAATAATAATTTATAAATTATCAAGGGTTCCTGAGGGAGGGGGAAGCAGGGAGGGAAGGGAAAAAATGAGCTGATGCCAGCGGCTTAGGTGGAGAGCAAATGTTTTGAGAATGATGAGGACAATGAATGTACAAATGTGCTTTACACAATTGATGTATCTATGGATTGTGATAAGAGTTGTATGAGCCCCTGATAAAATGAGGGAAACTTAACAGTCATGTAATATAGCTTCTTGATTACTGGTATTAGGAAACTGAAGTCTTAAAATGTGTTAAATAAAAGCATTTATATGACCAAAACGGAAAAAAAAAATTACTAGGAGTTTCAAAAAGTTCTGGGTAAAATAGAATTAAAACATCACGTAGTTTTCCACAAGCTGTGAAAGCTCCGTGTACTACCTGCTACGTCAGATTTCTTGATGATTAAATGAAGCAACTCACATAAAGTAGTTAGAATGGTGTTTGACATGTGGTAAAACTTTAAGAAAGATCTTTGCTCTGGTTATTATTAGTCTGGTAAACATACATGAGTAATTCATCAGGAACTTGGGAATTTGGTCTGCGAACTTCCTGGATAGCCCTTCCTGGATTCTTAATGTCATCCTCTTGGACCTATTTTCTATTAACACAAATCAGCGGGTCCACCATCATTGCTCAGTCAGGCAGAGGGCTTGTTTTATGCAAGTGAGAAAAGATGGAAATTGCATCCTAATGCAATGTTTTAGGTTAAAACTGGATGGATGATGTAACGGGAAAACAACTCCTACAGAAACTAGTACAACTTGTATGACTAAAGGCATCTAGAGCCTGTAGGCACTGATGAAGTTAAGTGGATACATTTAAGGTTGATTGTGTGTAGAGATAGGAACAAAGGAAATAAGTAGTATAAAAAAGGGTGTAATCGCCTGGACGGAGCTCAGACAGGGTGAGGAGACCAAGGGAGGCAAGGGAGAGACACTAGTTGAACTCACACTTCACCCTGAGGAGTTTTCTATCCAAAGCCAAGGAAAAAGAAGCTGTGGAGGTAGGCACCCCTCCTGTCTGCTGGCCGTAACCTTGGGGAGTCTTTCTCTCTGTGTCTCTCCTTTCCTTCTCCTCCCCTCCCCCTCTCTCCTCCCTTTTCCTCCTCCTCCCTCCCCTTCCCCCTTCCCTCCTCCCCTGCTCTCCCTCTGGTTCTCACTTGTTTTTGTTTGAGATGAATTTGTTAGTCACTAGAGACTCCAAATCCATTTGAATTTTCTCCTTTTTTTTTTAAAAGCCACTCAAAGTACTCTAGGTTTTAGGGATAAAGAATCTTGAGGAGTCTTTTTGTTTTTTAAAAGTCATTTTATTGGCGGCTCTTTCAGCTCTTATTACATTCCATACATCAATTGTATCAAGTATATTTGTACATATGTTGCCATCGTCATTTCCAAACTTGAGTCCTTGGTATAAGCTCCTCCTTTTTTACCCTTCCACCCCATAAATCCTTGATCAATTATATATTGTTATTATTAGTTCGTATCTTACACTGCCCCGTTGTCGCCCTTCACCCACATTTCTGTTATTCATTCCCCTGGGGAGCGCTATATATCCAACCTTGTGATGGGTTCCGCCTTCTCCCCCTTCCCCCTGCTCAACACCCACCTATCCTCATGATATGGTTACTCCCACAACTATTCCTGAAGGAGTTTATCGGTCCTGAATTGCAGTTGTAGAGAACTCTTTTCTGTACCAATGTGTATTCTCCGGTCTAGCCTGATTTGTAAGGTAGTTTGTATTGGTTTTGAAAGAAACATTACACACACACACACACACACACACACACACACACACAGAGCACATCACAGGAAATGAAATCAACAACAACATCCTGTTAAGCCCTCCTCCCCTCCCTACATCCCTCCCCTCTCCCTGTTCCCACCCAATCCCTGGCCTCATAGTTATCAAAGTCTTATCTATTGGTGCACAAGCCACATTTTTTTGTTTTTCCTTGTAACAATGGTATTGTAATTATTTTTCTTTGTCAGATTGACTGAGTTTGGTAAGCATTTTGTTCTTAGGTTGGTCTGTGTCTTGTGGTGTTTGAGTTATTTTTTAAATTGATGCTTAAAATTCTATAGTATGAATATATCAGAGCTTGTTTATCCATTCTTCATTTGTTGGGGGGTTGTTTGCATGTTTTAGCTATTGTGGAAATTTCTGCAATAAACATAGGTGGATATATGTCTGTAGTAGAAAGAAAGTATCAAAATGTGTATTTGCATGTATGTCAGGACACGCCATACTGATTTCCAAGTGGTTGTACAGTTCAATAGCCCCGTCAGCAATGTAAAAGTATTCCTATCCCTCCACATCCTCTCCAGTATTCATTATTTTGTTTTCTTAAATTTTGAAAAATTTGTTGATGTGTGGTGATATCTCAGTGTTGTTTTAATTTCTATTTATCTTCTTGAGAATGGTCTCGAACATCTCCTCATATGGTTGTTGGCTGCCTGTAGGTTTCTCCGGAAAATTGTCTACTCATGTCTGGTGCCCATTTTCTGATTGGATTGTTTGTATTTTTTCTTCTTAAGATCTTGTATTTTTCTGTAGATTTTTGCCGATGTACCCTTTATCTGAAGTAATATTACCGAATGTTTTTCTCAGTCTATGGGTTCTCTGCTGACTCTTTATTTAGTTTTTGATGTGCATTTTATTGAGGGAGGGCTCTTACAATTCTTATTACAATCCAAACATCTATTATATCAGGCATATTTGTACATATGTTGCCATGATTCTTTTCTCGATAATTACTTTCTATTGATCCCTTGGTATCAGCTCTTTCCCCCCTCTCCCAGCTCCCCACCCTCGTGACCCCTTGATAGATTATAAATTATTATTATTTTCATGTCTCACACCGACCACTGTCTCCCTTCCCCCATGGTTTCCTTTGTTCCCCCTGGAGGGGTGTGTGTGGTTGTGTGTCGCTCATTATGATCGATTCCCCCATCTCCCCCCACCCCGGCCCTGGTCCATAAACTTTTGATGCCCTTTCCATCTCTCTAACCCTTCCCCAAAGAATTCTACACATCTATTTACACCTCTTCAAAAGCACAACTTTTCTAGCCTTTCTCTCACCAATGCAAGTTTACCATGTTTTTTAAGTTCTTCTAATAAAGTCCCTGTGATTGTTCTGTGTCCTACTAGACACCTATCCCAAGAAATACCCCCCATGACCTTCTGAGCGGACTGCTCTACTTTGAATGGAACTGGTCTAGCAGATCCCCTCAGAAGCCGCTGGTTTGATCAGAACCGGTTTTGAAGGCACCTTCCTGACTGAGACGAAGTATCTGAGTGAGAAGACTTGTCTGCACTATTCACAATGACATGCGGAATCCCATTTTATTTTGAATGAACCTAAACAATATGAACCGGAACCCCAGTAGCAGTACTTTTGTGCTGGCCCTCTCGCAGCCTGTCCCAGCTTACGCCTGCTGTTCTGGCCTACGTGCCCACGGTGCTCCTTCTCAGACTCCGAAGTGCCTGGCTGGAATGATAAATGTGGTCACCCAATGTCCCCATTCGCCAGGGGCGGGAATGTCATCTCTGGTTTCTTTGGGCTTGGCTTTGTGTTTTGTTTGTGGTATTTTGTTTTTGTTTCTTGGGGGTAGGGTGGGGTGTTGGTTGGTTGGGTTTGGTTTTTTTAGCATTCTTTCTTCTTAAGCCTAAGGAAAATCAGAAGACCACTCATATCACACATAGCCACCCTAGAAACTGCTCAGCCAGGTGACCATATCGGGCCAGAGAAGGTAGATCCAGAAAGCAAGGCGGGCGAGTGTGCCTGTGACCAGCACGGTGCAGAGCCATCCCCCAGCCGGAAAGGTGGCCGCAGCTCTGTGTTGGACACCTTCGTCTGACATAGGCTCTCGCTCCGGTTTTGCATGCACGGTGCAAGTTGGAAAGGCGCCCTGGTGGCTGCTAACCAGAGCTTAACCAGAGCTTCTGCCGTGTGAACGCACTGGCCCCTGCACAGGAGAAAGATGGGTGTCTCTGCTCCTGCAGAGATGCGCAGCCTCGGAACCCACAGGGCCACTTCTCCTCTGGCCTCCACGGTTGCTGTGACTCACTGTTGACTCGAAGCAGTGCGTTGCAGTTCACATGACTTCATAGGAAGGGAATTTTTTGTTGTTGTTGCTATCTGCGAAGAAGATAAAGAACGCCCGTAAGTTGGGTGGAAACAAGCTTTCCTACAGGTCCTGTCTTTAGGTAGAGTAAGAACAAATCTTCATTGACCTGCCAGTTCTCTGCTGAAACTGTAGACCCTTCTACTTCAACTGACACACACACCCCCCCTCCCCCGGCTGAAACTGCAGGGGAAGATTAATATGGATTCAATACGGCCCAATAGTTGTTACACTGAGGCCAGACAAAAAACCCAGGCGTTGTTACCCCAGGCCATTGTCTCCGCGCGGATGGATCCCTGCCCGTCTCCCCTCCAGGCCCCGCTTGGCTCTGCACAGTGCGTCTGGTAGGCTCGGGCCCTCGGTCCCAGGATGGCTCTGACCCATTCCCTGTTTTGTCTGTCTTGCCGTGCTACAGGTGACATCAGTTGCAAGGGGATGACCGAGCGCATTCACAGCATCAACCTTCACAACTTCAGCAATTCCGTGCTCGAGACCCTCAACGAGCAGCGCAACCGTGGCCACTTCTGTGACGTGACGGTGCGCATCCACGGGAGCATGCTGCGTGCCCACCGCTGCGTGCTGGCCGCTGGCAGCCCCTTCTTCCAGGACAAGCTGCTGCTGGGCTACAGCGATATCGAGATCCCGTCAGTGGTGTCCGTGCAGTCCGTGCAAAAGCTCATCGACTTCATGTACAGCGGCGTGCTCCGCGTCTCGCAGTCGGAAGCCCTGCAGATCCTCACGGCCGCCAGCATCCTGCAGATCAAAACCGTCATCGACGAGTGCACACGCATTGTGTCCCAGAATGTGGGCGACGTGTGCGCGGGGATCCAGGACTCGGGCCAGGACACACCGCGAGGCACGCCCGAGTCCGGCACCTCGGGCCAGAGCAGCGACACCGAGTCGGGCTACCTGCAGAGCCACTCGCAGCACAGCGTGGACAGGATCTACTCGGCGCTGTACGCGTGCTCCATGCAGAACGGCAGCGGCGAGCGCTCCTTCTACAGCGGGGCGGTGGTCAGCCACCACGAAACGGCACTCGGCCTGCCCCGCGACCACCACATGGAAGACCCCAGCTGGATCACTCGCATCCACGAGCGCTCGCAGCAGATGGAGCGCTACCTGTCCACCACCCCCGAGACCACGCACTGCCGCAAGCAGCCCCGGCCCGTGCGCATCCAGACCCTGGTGGGCAACATCCACATCAAGCAGGAGATGGAGGACGACTATGACTACTACGGCCAGCAGCGAGTGCAGATCCTGGAGCGCAACGAGTCTGAGGAGTGCACGGAAGACACCGACCAGGCCGAGGGCACCGAGAGCGAGCCCAAGGGGGAGAGCTTCGACTCGGGCGTCAGCTCATCCATAGGTACCGAGCCCGACTCGGTGGAGCAGCAGTTCGGAGCCGGGGCATCCCGGGATGGCCAGGCGGAGCCGGCCCAACCGGAGCAGGCCGCCGAAGTCCCCACCGAGGGTGGCCCGCCACCGCACCAGCCAGAGACAGGTGCCTCCACCCCAGAGAGAAGCACCGAGGTGGAGATGGACAACACGGTCATCACGGTCAGCAACAGCTCCGACAAGAGTGTCTTGCAGCAGCCGTCGGTCAACACATCCATCGGGCAGCCATTGCCAAGTACCCAGCTCTACTTACGCCAGACAGAAACCCTCACCAGCAACCTGAGGATGCCTCTGACCTTGACCAGCAACACACAGGTCATTGGCACAGCCGGCAACACCTACCTGCCGGCCCTCTTCACTACCCAGCCTGCGGGCAGCGGCCCCAAGCCTTTTCTCTTCAGCCTGCCGCAGCCCCTGACAGGCCAGCAGACCCAGTTTGTGACAGTGTCCCAGCCAGGCCTGTCGACCTTTACTGCACAGCTGCCAGCGCCACAGCCCCTGGCCCCATCCGCAGGCCACAGCACGGCCAGTGGGCAGGGCGAAAAAAAGCCTTATGAGTGCACCCTGTGCAACAAGACTTTCACGGCCAAGCAGAATTACGTCAAGCACATGTTCGTCCACACAGGTGAGTAAAGGCTCTCGGGATGCCCGGCCCAGAGTGTGCGCGGTGGCTGTGGGAAGGGAGAGACAGGACAGTGGGTGGGAGGGGAGGTGTAGAGTGTCACCTCAGATTTTAAGGAGGGTCCATTATGCGTCATCATCTCGAACATCCTCCCTGCCCCCCACCCCCCACCCCCCACCCCAGCCATACCCATTCCTCATTCTGGAATAAAGTATCCTACTGCCCAGAGACAACATCACAGTAACTTATCATGGAAACAGGCCACATATGCAGGTACAACAGCCTCTATAGGCACTGTAGTTTCCTAGCTGTTCAGAATTGGAAGAGTCCTTGGAGGCCGTATGTTTCCCTGGACCTTGGCTTTCGAGACCAGAACTGCACAGGCAAACCAGGAAGGAGCGTTATCAGCCTGAAGAGGCCACACAGAAAGCAGATGTAACCTTCAGCCGCATTCATGGTCCCGGAACTGACGAGTGAGTGATAGATTTAGTCGGTTCTCTATTGGCCATTGTCTGTTTTTCACAGCTAGTGACAACTGTCTGTTCTAGAAACTACTTTAGAAAAAGACTGTCGCCTAACTGGGCCACCATCAGAAGGCAGGTTATAACGGGCGAGGGGCATAAAGCCATGGTGGAAAATCCTAGGAATGGTCAGCTTGCAGGAGACTCAGCATATCCTATAAGTCACGTTCCAGTATTTGCTTATTAAAGGCAGCTTACTGTAGTGATTAGGAGCTTGCGCTCAGGAGCCAGACTGACTAGGCTTAATAAATTCAGGCTTAGCAGCTGCCAAAGCTATCATCTTGGGACAATCACTGGGACGTTCTCTACGTGTATGCTTGTCTACAGGATGAGAACGGTCATGGTATAGCTTCCAATGATTCAAGGGTTAAATGAATTTACATGTGAAGTTTTTAGAAGTATTCTTGTCACATAATAAATTATAGGTAGCAGTTTTATTTAAATAGTTGGGAAGAGGAAACATTAAGTTTATTTGGTTTGACTCAAAAAGCTAGAGCTGAACCAATCAATGATTGGAAGCCATCAAGCTTGTCACTAGTCAGAGCAGCTCTCCGATGGGATAGAGTGCCTTTAAAGGGAGTGTGATCTTGTACCCGGCAGTGTTCGGGGAGAGACTGGATGGGTGTTTGGTAGGAATGTTGCAGAAGGGATTCATTCATAGGGAATGTTATCGAGCAAGACCCTGATTTTCCCTTTAGAGCCAGGATCTCCTGACCTGCCAGCCGGTGCTCTTTCCAGCAATGTAGTGGGGCAGCCAAGGGGTGGGAATGCCACCGGTGTGTTTCTTTACCAGTGACCACCTATGTGATTTGGTTCCACCTTGATTTTTGGTCCTCTACATACCCACCTCCAGTGATGCTCAGGATATTTGTAATTTCTGTCATGAGTGTCACTCTTTTGGTTAGCATTTGCTTCCAGACCATGCCTGTTCAATGACCATTAAATTGCCCGTGAAAGAGTAGACCCGTGACACGGGAAAGCAATCGGTCTCTCAAAGCAACCTGTGTCAGGTCAGGAATCTGGGGGATGGGACATAAAGCAGCTCAGTTTAAATCGAGAATTAGAGAAGGGAAAGAGAATAGCAGACAAGGTGCCCAGCATGGAAGCGAACACCCAAACCAGAACATTGCTTAAGACGAACCTCGCCTTCCTTGCAGTTCTACTTAAGTCAGCGCGTGAATGGAAATCAATGTGTATGTCTTCATATGAATCAGTTGGTTTTAAAGAAGATCATTTCACACCTCCAAATGAACACAGTGAATCACTACTGAGCTTAGAAAGAACGGTTGAAGTGAGTTTCTTGTGGGTGAGTGTATGCACTCATAACTGGAGCTCAGTCAGGGGAACTTTCCATGTGGTGCAGATATCGCCATTATGTGGTGATTTAATCAAATATTCCTATTTTTAAATGGTGTGGAAATTCATGGTTGTCAGAGTGCCCTCACATATATTATGGCCTTTCATCCTCTGAATAGTTGTCTTACAAATTATCGGGTTCCGGTTTAGAGAGAAAATAGATCGTTGGTGGAAGTGTCTCCATAGCCAAAGTTTGCATTGCTGGTCCTGGATTGATAAACGCATCTGACCAGTGGTGGGGATCAAATCATTTAACAACCAGTTTGCTGCCTAATGATAATTTAAGTATTAAAAAAAGATATACCAAAAAGCAGTTTTTTATTTAATTCAGCTAGCACTTAAATAAGAACAATAAAAGAGGCCCACAAAACTAGATTAAGTTATAAAAGAGTTTTAAAATATTCATTTAAAAATATTAAATAAAGAATACCTGACCAAAAAAAAACCCACAATAAAACTGTCATTTAAGGTATTTCCCTATTTCTTCTTGCTTGACAGCCTCATTTTCAATGGTCTCTGCTTTTATCCGAGTGTCACCGGCTGCATGATTTGTCCTTAACCTTCTTTTCGCTGTAGAAGTAGAATCCCCTTCCTTTAGAGTAGGCCATTTAGACATGAGTCATTGTGTTTGATACATTAGAAACAGGCCACTTCTCTTCTCCGAACATGTTATGTTCATCTTTGTAAAGCCCCTTTCCGTTTCTGCTGAACCTACAGGAATTGTTGAGCCAAAATTCTTCAGGAATGGCCTCACTCACTCCTACTATCTTGTGGGAATTCCGAGCGTAACACAAAGCTGACACAGATGACAGCGTGTCACTCTGTTGGTTTGTCACTTTTTCTCATTATGTTATGTGTTTGTTTACTGAAGTCACAAAAGCAAGGGAATACAGATACAGTATTCCAGCAAAAGTATAACGAGTTTTATGAAAGGAATAAATATTGCAAGCATAGTTCCATCTAACTTTTTATACTTATAGACCGAATGAACACGACTACAGGTACTTAGAAGACTGTTGTACTTATGAACATTAAAAAAGAGCAAAGAATGTAAATTTGTGTTTTCCACATTTGGTGGCTGCCAGCCACCTCCCTTAGAGAGCACCCTGATCACAAGTGCCATTTCAACAACTGGCTCACCGAACTGAACAAAAAACTAAGTATCAGTTCTTCCAAACCGATGCAAACTGGCCGAATCCCACCACTACCTCTGACTCTCCCATTATGTGCGTCCCTCCTGATGGAGAGAGGCTATCCACTTCCTGCACCTTATAAGGTTATACACCGAAATAAGCCTCTAAACTTACAACATAAAATCTTCAGGGTACTATCAAAAATTGTCTATCTCATCTACAGAATATTTCTCCAACACAATATTCTGTGGTTAACCCAGATCACTGGTTTTGCCCAGGAGAAAATCAGCCATAGACTTGAACATTTAGATCTCATAGACACAAATGCTAGGAGTAAAGGCATTTTGAAAATTTGCGTGTGGTCCAAGTGTGCTGTAAATCTCGAACAAGCTATGAGGCTTTCAATAAACTACGGTATCAGTGTGTATAATGTGGCCACATCAGGGAACAACTAATAATCTACATATATCTCTGTCACGTCTTTTAAAAGAAGTGACACTCTTCACTCACCCCATAATTATCTGTCAGTGGAAAGTTGGAGGAGCCATCTGTCTGTCAAGACTTTTGTGCCATTGAGAGGATCCATAAAGTTTAAAAACTGTTGGTCAAGATCGTAAAAGGCAAGACCATCTGAAGCTATGGAATTAAGTCGGGGCCTGGATCCACTGTGGCCCGTGTCTCCTAACAAAGTACTTTTCAATTGCTTAGAGGAAGTTTGCTTCTTAAAGTGGGATTTCACACCTTTTCCAGGAGCCCTTAATGCTGAGGATGTGTTTGTGTAGGACATGTTGGAAAAGAAAAGAATTAGACAACAGATACTATCCTGTCAAGCAGAAAAGCTGTCTCCTCCGTTTCCCTCAGAGGAGGAAAAAACCACAACAAAGGAACAGGAATGGAAGTATGGCCAATGTAAGACTCACTCTGCCTTGGTATAAAAGTGGATCAGGAAAGCTACCTGTAAAGAAAAGAGAAAGATAACCCTGAATAGTGGTTTTCAAACGTATGGTCCGTAGGAATAGCTTGCAAATTATGCAAAGTCATGGGCCCCGCCCTGGGGCTCCTGAATCAGAGTGCGAAGGGTCAGCAATCACACAATGTAGAATCGATTCTAATCGCTCACCTAAGAGGGGAGCCAAGTCTTTCAAGCTACCTAGAGACTGCAGTGACTATATATCTAACTGTACGTCATGCAAACATACATTTGATCAGAGCATGAACAGTTACACACATGCATACACACTCACATGCTCTCATGCACATATCTATGTAGATACCTGATGCTTCAATGTATCCCGCATAATACCCAGCATATGCAGACATTCAGTAAATACCTGGTGATGTTTGATCACTTCCAAAGGGACGAGTGGTTAGTTTCCACAGTTATTCATTTTATGAGGTAGCCCCTCAGAAGTAGTATAAAATGTATATCCGTTAAATACGTTTTTATAACTATAAATATGTTTACGTATCAAGTTCTGTTTGCTTTGACTTTGTGTAATAAAGTAGCACACAGAATATAAAGAGTGATCTGCATGGCATTCACAGTATTTATTTTCCTGTAGTTTTTAGCAAATAAAAGTATAGGATGCCCAGTTGGTTGAAAGTTCACAGATAATAAATACTTATCGTTATATGTTTCATACCATATTTGGGGGATAAATATACCCAAAAAAGCATTATTTATATGAAAAATAGTCATTGTTCATATGACATTCAAATTCAATTTACCCTATATATTAACTGACAACCCTATCAAGTTGCAACTATCTTTTAAGACTCATCATAGCCCTTTTTTGCTTTAAGATCTATAGATAAGCATATGTGAAAAATAGAAGTTAGAGCTTGAGGGTAGCAAATGTATCTGCACACCAAGTGTTTGGTGAATGAATTGCTGAAAGAATGTTTAAACATATAGGCCTACTTTCCAGGATCATGTAATTCAAGGGACTGCCACATCAATGCCCTCTTTCTCAGGCAGACTGTGAAGTTTCTG